AGCTGTATCAATAACCCTAACCCTAACGCTCAGACACCTAGTCTTACGCTTTGCGCGTCTGCGTGTTCAAACAGGTGCAATGACTGTTTGTTGCCATTGTAACTGGTGTTGGGTTACATCATGTTGCAATTTTATAGCAGGAGGGATTTTTACTCCTGTCACCATATATATGAATGTTTTTGAGTTAACAGAGCAGACCATATGCGAAGGTAACCATTATGCATTTTTGTTTTTGTTGCTGTCGCACAAACAGGACCATTGGTGGCAACTTCACCATATTTGCTGCATTAGCAAGAACGGACGTGTGGCTGTACCAGACAGGCGTCATGTTTGACTTCCCCAGACCCACCATGCCGAATACGGTCAGCATAGCAGGTCACATGGCTGATGAGGTCAAGCCGCTCAGTGAGGTTAGTTATGTTTACCAAAGGAAAACATGTTGTTTTTGCTCTGTTTCTTTCTCTTCTTCTCCAAACCTCTGACCTGACCATGACGTCTGTCACCATGGTGACTGTTGTTGGGTTACATAATGTTGCAATTTCATGGTCTACTCTGCTCCCGTTACCATATACTAATAGTACATGTATGTGAATGTGTTTGAGTAAGAATTAACAAAGCAGACCATGTCCGAAGGTAATAAACATTATGCATTTGCTTTGCAAATGTTACTTCTCTAGTTCATAATTGAATTGAACTAGAAATAGCTGAAAAACGTTGTTCAGTAGTGTGGCGCTGCACTCAAGTTTAGAACGTATATTAACAGCACCACACAACAAAAAAGTACAATTAACATTTAAATACACAAAGTTGACATATCTGTGCGCCGTAATCCCACCACCCCAAGACATTAAAAATACTAATACTAGCAAATTTATTTGAAAATTAAGATTACATGTTAACCTCCTATATCTCATTGGCTTTGGAGGTTTCTAATTAAAATGATAAATTTCATAACTTTATCAAACTCCATTTAAGGTACCCATCCAGAATGGCCCTAACTCTTACATTCTCCTGAACATACATGTACAGGATCTGGAAAAGTTCGTGCAGAGCTCAGGAGATGCCGGGGTGGTGATAGTGACGTTCGGCTCCATGATAGCGGCTATGCCCGCAGAGTTAGCCGACATGCTGGCCGCTGCTTTTGCCCGCCTGCCGCAGAAGGTGGTGTGGCGATACGCCGGGACACCTCCGCCAAGTCTGGGAACCAACACCAGGACCATGGAGTGGGTGCCTCAAAGCGACTTACTGGGTAAATTTATGTCATTTATGCATTTAATCAT